TTGTGCCTGATGGGGGGAAGCAATGCTCCAACGTCTCCAAGGTGGGAGTGAGAGCATCCTTCACCCCGTGCCCCAACTGATGATGCCAGCAAGAGGCTCCACATCCCCATCTGGTGACACACATTGAGCCCTGGCAGCATTTCAGCTTCAAGAGCTGCCACTCCGTTGTCCCACAGATCCTCCTGGACCACTGCAGCATAATGCTGGTAGCCTGAGCACATGCTTGACCCTGGCTCCTTGGGACGTGCAATGGCCAGGTGGCCCCAGGACAGCAATCCTGGAATTTCCTGTGCTGTCCAGAGCATCCCTGACTAACGTGGCCTGATCAAAGACTCAAGCAGGCTGTTTCTATCTGTAGCAGTAGAGGCAGGACCAGGCTCTTCAATATCTGTATTTCAGCCCGGCTTCGACTCTGGGAGCAGTCCTGGGTTTTGAGTGTGCCTTACACACAGCTTTGGTTTAGCACAATCACAGCCTAAAACATCAGCTCAACATCTTACCAGCACCTTCTGCATCCATTCCACCACGTCGGGGCACTGCACAATCACAGCCTAAAACATCAGCTCAACATTTTACCAGCACCTTCTGGGTAGCAACACATCCTCTTCTGCATCCATTCCACCACATGGGGACACTAGGAGCACCTCGACATGGGTTTGTATCAACAGACCATGAGGAGCACGTGCCTGTGAGACCTGGGCACAGGTTTGCTGGGGTCTGGGCTCACACAGTAGTGTTGGGACACTTGTGCTGAACGCTGGAGGAGGAGGCTTTGTACCCCAGGCTGGCAGCAGCCTCTGGAGCTTTGAACTCTGGCCAGGACATTGGCACCACTTTGGGGAGGGCAGAGGTCTTCTGTGCCACGCAGTGCTGTAGGACGTGAGCCCTGTGTTGCACCCACCAGCATGCACGCCTCTCTGCAGCACATCCAACGTCTCCGTAGGGGAGCCAAAATGATCCTGGCACCCTGCACTGCACAGACTGTGAGGGGACAACCTGATCCCAGTCCAGTGCTTTGCCTGAGAGACCAGAACTGTGCTTGAGCAGACACTGGTTTCACGTGCTGTGCTCCAGAGCAGTGCTGCACAAGGGGCTGCTCCTCAAAGGACCACAGCATGAAGGACGTTTGCACGCTATGGCAGCAGATGCTGTTCCTCTGCAATGTGCTAGAGGATGCTGCACCTCGCTGCTCCTGGGGAGATGCCCTGCTAGGGAAGGGCAGAGCTCTCCACCCCTCACCCCTCATGCCCCAGAGGCTGCTGGTGCTTTATCTGGCATCCAGAGGTCCTGCTGCCCATGGGGACATTGGGACCACACAGCAGCACTGCAGAATGCCAGCCCACTGCTAACCTCTCCAGCATGCAGCGCCCTGCGCCGTGCTCCAGCAGACCTTGGCACAACCTACCGTGCCATTGCAATCATCACGCAGCCCCTGCAACACTTGGGATGGCGCCAGCACCCTGGAAGACCCTGGAGAAGACCCCAGAGCGCTCTGCCATGTTCCAGAGGATTTCTGCATCCTGCACCATGCTCTGCCATGCCCCGGCACGGCAGCAGCCCACTCGTCGTGGAAAGCCACAGACACGGGTGGGAGAGGGAGCCGGGAAGGGTCGGTGGCAGGGCTGGGCGCTGACTCAGCTGTTCTGGCACGGCCGTGCCACGGAGCACCGGGCCCAGGGAGGGAGGTGCTGGGTGGGGAGGGAGCGTGCAGGTTTCGGCCCCGGCGTGCACGGAGCCAGGCTGGCGAGGGGCCAGCACGCTGCCGAGACAGGCAACGCTGTGGGAAGCAGGGAGTGCCTCTGTACCCCCACCCTGGGCGCTGCCAGCCCCGCGGGGACGGGCAGAGAGGCTGCGGGGCCCCTGAGCGGGACCCGGCACCGGGGGCCCTGCCTTTGCCTGCCAGAGGGTTTTGAGGGTGAGCCTTCAGAGCCTGGGAGACAAGGATATTTTTTTCCAAGCCAGATGTACCTTTCTGCCCCAAGGAACGTCCCCGGGGCCATGCATAGATCAGGGTGGAAATGTCATATTCTGGACCTCCACTCAACCACCCTTCAGGAATTTTGTGTCCCAGCACTGGCACCCTCCCCAGCTCTCCCCTTTTTGTCCCAGTAAGGGATGAGGCTCATCCCTCTACCCCTTGTTTTTGAGGAGGCAGATGGTGGGGGTCTGATTGTCCTTCATTTGTTGCCTCACTGAAGCTGAAGCTTCCCAGAGGCTCACTCCCCAAAACCTGATGGCACATGTGGAAGTAGGCAAAATAAGTTGTCATCCAAGAGGCAGCACGAGGGAGAAATCTGCAGGATGCCCATGCATTACTGGGTCTGGGATGGAGATGACAGGCAGCCCCAGAAAGAAGGAAGACAAGAAACCCTTGAAGATCTAAGGAAGAAATTTTTTACAATGAGGGTGATGAGGCACTGGACCAGGTTGCCCAAAGAAATTGTGGCTGCCCCATCCCTGGCAGTGTTCAAGGCCAGGTTGGATGGGGCTTTGAGCAACATGGTGTAGTGGACGGTGTCCCTGCCCATGGCAGGGGGGTTAGAACTAGATGGTCTTGAAGGTCCCTTCCAACCCAAAGGTCCCTTCCAACCATTTAGTGATTCTGTGATTCTATGATCCACCACCCTGTGCATCCATTCCCTCTCCACTGCTCTGGGAAATGCCTCATGGATGCTGTTGAACAACAGCATGGGACAGCTTGCCCCAGAAAATGCTCATGCAATTCTGGTGTTTTCTGCTGGCTGACAGTCCAGATCCATGCACTGGGAACACTTGGGATCATGCCGCTGATGTGCCCCTGTGGGTGTTGCATGTGGGACCATGCTACAGGGATGCCTTCAGCTAGATGAAGGAGATCCTCACCCCTAAAAGGACAGATAAATGGTCTCTCCACACTGACTCAAGTCTTCGTTGCATGCTGTCAGAAATATGCAGAGGAGGCAAACACAGTTGGTCTGGGCCCTTTAGGAAGGGGTAGGAATAGGGGTTAAAGTGGCCTGGAAGTAGGGCTTGAAACCCATCCATGGACCTATGGGCTTGGAAACAGTGGCCCTATCCATGCTGTGCCATAGGGCCAGCCCTGACACAGAGGGCAGAGAGGGGGGCTGTGGTACAGCAGAGCTGGAATCAAAGTGGCCATAACTAGGCTTGCCCCAAAATGCAGCAGGAAAAGCAGGTCAGACCACTGAGGTCTGTTACAAAACCTCCCAAGGACGGCAGGTGTGAGATGCTGTGAGGCAAGGAGACGTTATTCAGGGGATCCTGGATGGTTGCTGCATCCTTGTGCACCCCAGGGAGCTTTCTCAGTCGAGCTCTGCTGGGACGATCCGGTGCCTGTTTCCTCTGGGCTGAGAGCTTTGGGATGGAGACAACACCCACAACCCCCTCACCATTCTCTTTATTTACAGACACAACATCAACTGGGGGTGTGGAGATGAGAAAGGGCACCTCGCGAAGCATCTGCCCACCCAGGCAGCGCAGTGCCTGCAGCAAGGTCTTTGCAAGCCCTGCGCAGTGGGAGGGCAGGTGGGCGCGCGGTGCGGGCTCCACGACGTGAGGAAGCCAGCTGGCCAACCAAAAGGCGATACACCTCTCGTGGTTGAGCCTCCTCTGCTTTCTGAGTCATCTATTTCCACCGGCCACCCACCATGGTCTTCCCACGGGCAGCCTTCGACCTGGGGGAGAAGCAGAAAAGCATGCGTGAAAAGGCATCAGTGACTGTGAAAGGTGGGAGAAGGTGGGTGCCATGGGAGGAGAATCAGAGGCCCTGCAAAGAGGATCAAACCATCTCCAGTTGGTGCTCACTGCCCTGTGGAAGAAGGCCTTCAGCAGCCCCAGGAAAAAGCTTGGGACCTGAGCCAGTCTGCGTGCTTTGGGACTCCATGGGCACAAGCTCATGCACTTTGCCAGGTGTTTCTAAGAAGCCCCAATTCCCTTCCCACATTCCTCCCCACCAAGGATCCTTCAGAGAAGAAGCAAAGAAGCTGGATTTTGGCTGTGGAGGGATAAGGATAGCTGCAGGATCCTCCTCCCAGGAACCAGAAGCTGTGAGGCTGTTAGCCAGGACCCACCACATCGCTCTCCTTAACCAGCATCAGGGGAACAGGCACTGCTCTGGGCACGGCTCAGCAGCGAGGAGGAGGAGGAGGCTTGGGTGGACAGCAAAGGGAATTTCTGGCATGTCATCCCAAGAGTCACCAGCCCAGCTCTGTCTGCCAGTCCTCAGCCCTACTGCTGGCCTGTTGTCAGCCCTATGTCCATGCAGCACACGTGCAGGGGGAGACACATGGCACTCGGGAAATGCCTGTACTCACCCTTTGCTGCAGTAACGGGCCATGGTGGGGCAGAAAAGAAGAGAGATTGGGTGTAAGTGGTGGGGGGATGATGCTGGCTGTCAGATGGGGCAGGCTGAGCACCTCTCATGCGAGACAACAGGGTGGGATGGTGATGTGAGAGCAGCATGGTGCTCCCAAGGGTGGGGGTTAAACATCCACCTACACCCTCCTGTAAAGGGTCTCCCAGTCCTGGGCAGGGGACATGGGCACCAGAGCAGCCTCCCCTGTCCTTGAGGGGCTGCACAGCTCCCACAGCCCCCAGGATTTCCCCTCCTATGCAAGGACCTTCCCTGAGATGCTGGGCAGAGCCACGGCAGGAATGGGGGCTGCTGGAGGCTGTCAGGACCCTGCAGGACATGAGGCTCCATGTGTACAGGGGAGTGTCCCCAGGGTCTCTGGGGTAGGGGGAAGCTGGTGGAGGTGGGAGGCAATGGGGGGGCCTGTCAATGGGAGCAGAGCAGCATGGACTGAAGTCCCTGGGACAGACCTGTAGGTCATGAACAGCAGGTACCAGTGGGACCAGGACCAGTGATGGGAAGGACAGGAGGTGACTCTGCAGGAGTGCAAGAGAGCCAGAAGATACACAGGGGGAGAACTGGGGCCAGGGGAGCAGGGAGCTGGAAGGGCGGGAGGCGTCGAGGGAGGATGCTCAGCCTGCCCAGGGACTTACACTTTCTGGTGGTCGCTAACGCGGTTTCTGAGGACGTTGATCTGCAAAAGAAAGGCAGGCAGGTGGTGAGGCCTGGCAAGATGCCCCACGCCCGGCCAGGGATGAGGGTCTGAGCGAAGGTGCATCACTGCTCTCTTTGCTTTCAGCGGTGCAGACCCTCTTGAGTGTTTGTCACCCCATGCACAAGGTGGGTATGGCCCTTTTCAGATGCAACCAGCTTTCCTGTGACAGCACCGTCGGTCGGACAGCCCACCTCATCTCCCAAATGGGAAGCAGAAGGAGCAGCCAGGCATACGGAGGGTGAGCAAGCTCGAGGAGGTCCTCGTGGCTCACCTCATATTTCTGCCGCTTGAACTTTTCCTGCAGGTCAAATTTCTCAGCCTCCAGATCGCGGATGGTTTGCCATAGCTCCTTGGCCTTGTCCCTGCGGGAAGAGCCACTGATGTCAGCGCAGAAAAGGGATGTGGCTCACAGGGAGGTCACTGCAGGGGACAGGACAGCGATGCCACCATCTCCTCTGCTCCCCCAGGATGGGTGTCTGCAGGCTCCATGCCCAGCCGGGGATGTGTTGGCCAGGCGGCAATGCCATTCCCACGGGAGGACCAGAGCCATGGGTGAGGTCGGGACACATGGGGACATGCGTGTCCCACGCGTGTGAGCGTGGCTCCCTCTGATGGCCGGCGCTGTCAGCAGCAGCCTGGCCGTGGTGGATCTCCTCTGCTCCCCCAGGATGGGTGTCTGCAGGCTCCATGCCCAGCCGGGGATGTGTTGGCCAGGCGGCAATGCCATTCCCACGGGAGGACCAGAGCCATGGGTGAGGTCGGGACACATGGGGACATGCGTGTCCCACGCGTGTGAGCGTGGCTCCCTCTGATGGCCGGCGCTGTCAGCAGCAGCCTGGCCGTGGTGGCCCAGCAGAGCCGTGGAGCCCACGTCCCTGGTGGGGTGTCACAGCCTGTCTCCCAGCTGGCCCAAAAGCCCCAGGCCCAGGATCCTGCCCTGGGAGGTGGGACCCAAAGCAGACCCTCTGTCCTAGAGGTCCTTCCTGCAGCCCGTGCTCACCTCAGCTTGTCTTCGTTGAGGTGGTCAATGTTCAGGGGCTTCCGCCGTTCGCTGAGGATCTTCTTCTTCTTTTCCCGCTCTGTTTGCTTCTTCCCACCCTTTTTCTCTGACTGAGGAAATCATCAGTCCATTGGAGGGAAGGAAATCTGCCCAGCTTTTGCTCTACTCCTATCCCCAGTTCTTTCCCCAACGCCCTCTGCTTTTGGGACTCCAGAAGCATGAGATCCTCAAAGAAATTTTGATAATAGTGGACAAGACACCCCGCACACCCCCATCCCTGTCCCTGAGGCAAAGCTGGAACCTCCCCTGGCCACCATGTGCAAAGCAGAGCTCTCAGCTCACTTTGGCCCTCTGACCAGTGCTGTGACCTAACCGTGGTGGCCTGTCTTCTGCTTGTAGAAACCACAGTCTACCAGCACCAAGGATGTGTGATGTGCTGGGGGGCCAGCCCACAGTCAAGCCCTTCCCAGGAGCACCAGCGGCTTCATTGCAACCATCTGGGGTAGGATCACACCTTCTGCATGTAGCCTCCAAAATGCAGCATGTTGGAGAAGGCTTTCTTCTTCCGTGCTTCCTCCTCAGCCTTCTTCCGCGCCTCCTCTTCCTCTTTGCGAGCTCTTTCTTCCTGCCAGGGTCAGAAGTGGGTCAGGAGCGGACAGATGGAGACCTCATGGACCAGCTTGCATGCAACACACAGCTCGTGCTCCCACGTGCTCTGCGGCTGGGCTTGTGCTACCCAAGACCAGCCCGACGCGCCATAGGAAGACTCACGGCCATGCGGGCTTGGCGCTCCTTCTCCCTCTCGCTGCGAATCCGCTGCTGCTCTGCCCTCTCCGCTCGTCGTTGTTCCTGCAGGAGGAGAAGACGTTGGCTTGGACCCCCCAGGGAATCTGCGTCCTCTCTGTCCCTAGGGACACATCCCTGACTCCAAAAGCCCTGAGAGCCCCAAGGGCAGATCTGCTGTTCCCAATGTCTCCCAGGAGAGCACATGGACTAGAGCCCACGGGAGAAGGTGCATCTCCGTTAGGCACCACAGCATCGCAGCAGCTGCAAAATATGGCCCAAATCTCATCCTCTGTCTTGCAGGGACAGGGGATGTCTCAGGTCTTGCGGTCGGGACTGTGGGGGAAGGCCCGTGGCTGTTTGCCCACAGGGGAGAGGGTGGCAATAGTGATAGAGGGAGGGGGCTGCAGACATACAATCCTGTCCTTGAGGGAGATGAGCTCCTCTTCCTCCTTCTTCCTGCTCTCAAAATGGGCTTCGATGAGGGCCTGCAGTTCATTCAGGTCCTTCTCCATGCGCTTGCGGTGGATGTCCTGCACCGGACAGAAACAACAGCGATGGTTACGCTCACGCCAGTGAAGCCCTCCAGGAGCTGCAGAGCTGCTGGGCACAGGGTGGAGGAGCGATGCGAGGGGAGCACCTCGCGGGGGTTGGCTTTGGGTGCGCTACTCACGTCAAAATCCAGTCTCTCGCCATCTGGGATTTTGGGAGGCACCAGGTTTGGCATGAAGACCCTGCAATCAACGGTGAGTAGGAGAATGGTGAGTCTGCAGCAGATACCTGGGGCAGGACGGTGCCTTTTGTCCCTGCATTGGTCTACCTAGCCCTCCTCTCCAAGCCTCCAGCCCCTGGGGATGCAGAGCGAGCACGTTTTGAGGACAGGGAAGTGTAATGTTGCTTGCTGGAGGTTGCCAGCTGGACAGCCTCAGAGGAAGACCTCTAGCATTCCCGGGAAGCACTCCAAGGCGCCTGCATGGCTGGAATAACTCTGCAAGCTGCAGGAAACTTGGCCATGACTCTTTGCCAGGCACCCTGGGGCTGGCAGACACCCTGCTGCTCACCCAACAGAGCACAGAGGAACCGTGTGCTCCAGTGTGACCTGGTACAGGGAACTGGAAACCATCCTCTCATCCACTGCAGGGGTCAGGAAGGGCAGGAGATGCTCAGCAGGGACACGTAAAGACACGAAGGGATGAGGCGAACATGGCTGAGGACAGATCTGCCTCCCAGACCGGAGTATCCCAGTGCTCCACGAGGACCCACAGGTTCCTGGCCATGGTTCACAGCCCTGCTCCTTCAGGTAGGTGCTCCTGTCCCAGTGCTGCTGACACTCATGTAAATGCCTGCCTCATGCCAGCCATGGCCAGGAGCATACTGGAGAGGTGTCATGGACCACGTACCCCAGGCTAGGGTGCCTGCAGATTTTTACCAGCTGCAGGGCCACAGGGCAGCTGATCTTTCCCCAAGGAACATAGAAAATGCTTCAAAACTGCCAAAAGTCTTAATTCTCAGGATGCCGTTCATATTCCGTGTTTATCTGCTTGTTTCTCTCCCTTGTTCTCTCACACAACAATGTCCCAGCCCACACTGTGGTCATGCTTTTGAGGCTTCACTCGTGTCCTTTATGGATGATGGTGCTAAGCCCATCACATGGAGCCTCTGCCCTGGCACAGCTCCTGCGTCAGACCTTGCACCAGAGAAAATGCACCGACACTTACTTGGGCTTCGGCTTCGATTCGCCTGTGAGTCCCCAGGAGAGAAAGACAACGTTAGTGTCAGAGAGGCATCTGCTTTCACACCCTGACCCAAAACCCACAACACGGAGCTGAGCCACCCTTCTCCCCAGGGCTGCACTGTGGACCATTCTCCAGCAAAGAGACATGCAACAAGGTGTCCGTCTGTGTGCCAAAACCCGCAGGCTGAGCAGAAAGGCGTTTGGCACCTCCTTACACGGGTGATGGGACCATCCCTCCCTCCCCAGAGAGGAATGAGGATGGATACTCACCTTCTCCGGGCTCCTGCTCTCGGTCCCCATCTCCACCTGTGGAAAACGCGATGCTTTGGCTCATGGAGGCCAGCCCTGCTGTGCACCCTGCCTGCTGACACAGCGGGTGCTTCAGCCAGGCTGTTCCACTCTGCCCTATGCTTATTCCCATTGCAAAACCCAGCTCCATCCCTCCAGGATGAACGGGGAGAGAGCAGGTCCTTCATGGACATCCCTCACACACAGATAGACCAGGAGAGCCCCCGGTCCTCTCCAGGAGGAACCCAAACAAGCTTTGCAAGAGCTCAGGCTGGGAAAACAGTAGTACTACCCTCTCCTTCTATATTTTGTATGAATTTCTTACCTAGGCAGCAGAAAGCCATCCCTCCTGCAGACCTCCTGCTGCCCCAGCCCTGGCAGAAGACGGAGCCAGGGCAGCTCTGCCCCAATTACTGCACATTGTCCCTCTTCAGCAACAAATGAATTCAGCACTGAAAACACCCACGGGGCCAGTGTCTTGGGGGACTGGGATCAGGACTGAAATGGCCAAAACTGCCCCTCCTCTGTTCCTGTTTTACCTTCTCCTGGTGTTTTCGTTTCATCTTCTTGTTCTGTTTCAAAATCAATGGGCAGAATATCAGCATCCATAAGTGAGGGGCAGCCACATTCCTCCAGCACAGAGGCGTCATAGAATCATGGAATGGTTGGGGTTGGAAGGGACCTTCAAGATCATCTCGTTCCAAACCCCCTGCCATGGGCAGGGACACCTTCCACTACATCAGGTTTCTCAAAGTCTCATCCAACCTGGCCTGGAACACTTCCAGGGAGGGGGCAGCCACAGCTTCTCTGAGCAACCTGTTTCAGTGCTTCGCCATCCTCACCGTAAAAAATTTCTTCCTTATATCTAGGGTCCTGGCA